GGTATAGAACCAAAATGGGCTATAGCACCCTCTGACGAAACCATTAAATCGGGTGGTGAAAGATAGCACAGAAACGGTTCATTAGTAAAATGTTATTAAGCGGTCTCAAAATAAAGCGGTCTCAAATTAAGCTGTCTCAAAATAAGAATAAAAGGCTTTCCGGTTTCAAATAAATCATCGGCTGAACAACTGAACAGGAAGGATGGCAGAATAAACTTGCATTATAATAAGGACGGCCTCAACATCGTAGGTAAAATTCAAATAATTTGGATGAGAGTTCCAACAGAATGAACTTGGCGATCAGGACAAAGCTTACTATAGAAATTGGCACTAACATTTTCCTTGTTGGACTGCGCATTTTATTTCGCTCTCAGCGATTTCTTATGTAGATTGTTAGCAACAAAATTTTGGTATGATAAACTGTTTTATTTGTTCCTCTATTTTTGTAGACAGGATGTAATCGAAACGCGGTTTGTTAACAAAATATTGGTTCTTACGCCGGGTTATGCTGAAAGCGCATTTCCCGACATATGCCCCCCTCCTTGCAGTGCATCTCTTTCCAAGGGATCGTTTAGGAAGACTATATCTCAGCCGTATTTGTTGATCACCTCGTTGTTGGATATGTTTTGTTTTGTTTTGGTTAGGGCAGTAAATACTTGCCCAGTAACTGGTCATCGGCCTCATGTTTATGCAACTCTCCACACGTCTTCGACAGGAACGCCATGTTAAAAATCTTATCCAGGTTTCTGAAGGGAGCATAGAGTTTCCTTGAATGCTCTCAATTTTTTTTAAAAGACCTTTTGGGGGCGTTATACAATAGTTGGGACAAAAGCTACGCTACCTGTCTTGAATCTTCCCTACCATTTCTCAACATGTCTGGTCCAGGAACTTTGCTTAAACTTTATCGAGTAGATTGAGCAGAGGAATGCCTCCGTAGTTACTGTACTTTCTGTGATCTCTTTTTAACACAGGGACAACTGCCTTGGACGTCATAGCATCTGTGGCTTTCCAGAAATGCACAGAGAACCCGGCAAGCACAAATTAACTTGAAAATACTGCCGTGACTTAAGGTCATATTTCTTTTAACCAGTCTATCGGTCCATCTTTCATCTATTCAGCTATGTGTATAGGAGCCTAGGTGATCGAGAAAAGATACAGAAGCTTCATCGCCATGATTTAAACGAATCCATCTCTTAGGTGAAGCTTCACGGAAACACATGCAAGGTGACAATCGAAAAGTGCGTTCGACTTGCGCAGTATTACCGAAATTAGTTACAGCAATCTTGGAGGAGGTTTTCAAGGTACTTTTTTGAGAAATCAAGAAAATAGCTATTAGTTAAGCCACCTGCGTCTTTCAAACGATATTCTGAACGTTAGCACAAGAACTCTAAAGAAGCATCCAAGAGGTGAAAGACGCCAGTTTAAAAATTATTCAGTTTCGATTACGGCTAATTCTTTCAGATCGCCGAGCCAGACGCGTCATCAGACTACCACGAATGTTTCCGATCCTGTACCAGCGTTTGAACTTCGGCAGAATGTAGCCAGAGTCTAGCGTCTAGAGGAGAGTTCTTCCAGATACTTCCTTCTAGTAATTCTTGACTGTCCCTGGGTACTTCTACTAGTCGTTTGGACAAAGTAGTCGTTGTTTCGCTTTCCATTCTGGAAGCATTCTGGAATTCTCCAAGTAGGACTGGAAATAAGCCTGAAGAAGACTAAAGTCCTGTCTAGCAAGTACTGACTACGCAACCTGTTGAATTCAACGACTTGAAAAGGCGCTAGTCTTCCTGGAACAGCTGATGCCTGCAGTTGGGACTTGAATCTTTGAAATGACAGGAAGCACTTTCGAAGTCTGAAGATGTTTTTACCCGGGAAACTGTCCTTGTGCTTGAAACGGAATGAATTTGATGCGTGGTTCTAGTGCTAACGTATGGGTGCGAAACGTAGACCTTCAGATTGATTACTATTCAGTAACTGGATTCAACTCAACGCAGTATGGAAAGATATATGCTGGGAATAATAAGAAAATTATGAAGACGAATGAATGGATAAAAACAAATATATTTATTTGCCTCATTTCAGATTCCGCTATGCCTGTTGACGTTGAACCGATTATCGTTGGGTTTTGCGATCAAAGTGACAAGTCTCCTGATGTTGTACATGCATGCGGTTCTGTGACTCTCATAAAAGATGGCTGCGTGAAGATTCTCGTAGACTGCGCTGGACCTCACGAAAAAGAATTATTGTTGGAAAGTACTTCCGGAAATTCTTTCGTTATCTAGTTGAATACCAGTGTCATTGTGTCCATGCATACGAAGCGCGGTTGTGCTTTGCTTGCCAGAAAATAGTTTAATTGAGGCAGGGCCTGCTTACGGTGACGAACATGAAGTCTGTCACGCTAGCGAACATAATCTGTTAATCAGGGACAGCTTTTCGAACAGGCAAACCTTTGCAGATTTGGGCTACTCTGTGGTTCAAGTTGTATGACCCTTAGATGACGACGACAGAAGCAACATCATGCCCTTTGTGACAATAAATACAAACGACCGTCGTGTATATCGTTACCTGAGTTTATGGCTACAGTCTCATTACCTAGGCAAATTTTACCTATAAAGCTAGAAAAGTTGTATTAGTTTTTATAACATACTGTCATTTAAACAACTCGTGACCAGTAAAATCTTCAGCAAGTTTTCTTCCAAAATTGGGAGAATATTATGATGGCGCAGGTTTGTTCGTAGTCATGAAAATTTATGTAGATGTTGCCGTCCAGCGTGGTAATTCATTCATAACGCAGACTGAAATGAATTTGCATTTCGGTCCATACTGGTATGAACCGAAACCAACTGCCTTTTCAGTTCACAGAGTGGTTTTTATCGCATTACTGTCTAAGGCGCAGCCTACATGAATGCCATGACGTATACATCAACATGCCGGCAGCGATGTTTTGATTCAGACACAAAAGTAGGCTTAGTAGTAATACAGTAAAACCGCGGTTTCAACGGCTTAAAGCTGGCCACAAGTCAGTTTTAGTCTATTAGTCAATCGATCATTCTAATGCTTGTAACCGATCTATAAAGAAAACGTCACTGCAGTCATATATTGCATATGATGAGCTAAGAAACGT